AAAAAAAAAACATTAGTGGGCTACAGCATTCTGTAACAAACTAATTGTCATTCATTAGATCATTCCTGGGAAGAGATACTACAGGTAAATTTATGGCTTAGCCTGTGCTAGTAGAGCTTGCCAGTTTTTAATCTGGAGCTGTTTCACTTCCCAATATCTTCACAAACAGTGCTATCCATCATCTTTTTCTGCTCTGCAATAAAGTTTTCCTCCACTCAATTTGCAGAAAGCTGACAACGATCTCAGTTCCGAGATAGATCAAGCTATTTACATCTTTCACAATACTGTTCTCACTCTCCCTTCACCAGAAGGGCATCATAACACTGTAAAACTGGGCATCATGAAATTTGAAGAATTTGGGGGAACTCTCCCCATCCCTTCACTAACCCCTGAAGCCCCAGCAGATTTCATATTCCAACAAAAGGTGGTACTAAGGCTTAGGAGGTATTGTTATTCCCAGGCACATGGGATCTTTTTCTGTTCCTCCCGAACCTCACGTGCCCTTCCCAGACCCACACTTGTTGGGGTTCCAGCCCAAAACCTAGCTGCTCAGGGGACTGGGAGAGTGCTGCCAACAGGGAACAGACAGGGAAGACGGCCTCATTTCCAGGTATTTCCTCTTTCTTAGCGCTTTCACAGGGGCTGTGTAGGTAGCACCACCTTACCAGTGGGCAGGAAAGCCAAGGGGATGAAGCTAGATACCTACTCATATCACTACCTTGTTATTTTGGTATCATATATGGTTAGAATCACAATAGCACTGGTCTCTTACCCACTGCCCTAGCATAATAAGTTATCCTAGAGCAGTCCTGAATTCTCTTAAATGAGTTTTGGCCACTGATAGCCCAGTTCTGAAGTGCTTTAAGAGAAATAATTTGGGGTACATTCTTTGTGTTACAGCATACTTGCATATACTTACAAATAGAGGTCATAGAGAACAGCCCTCATGTAACAATATTCTTCTGGTGTAAACTTCACCTATCTTCTCTCACATCAAATTTTCTTACACAATAGTAAGGATCTAGATGAAGTACTTATGCCAAGCCATCCTAAAGGGCTGTGGCTTCCTATGGGCCATCCTTTGGAAGTCTGAAATGCAATCTGTGTAAATTCCTGTTAGGTCACACCTCAAGTAAAGCCAAAGGCCCAAGAGACACCAGTCTAAAGACAAAAAACATGATACAAACCAAGCAACTGAAAATGACACAGGGTAGCCAGAGGCTGGATGACACATTTCAATGCAATACCGCGATTCTCTTTGTGATCACCAATTGCTCTGACTAAAGTGCATGGCATTTAGAGGTTCTTGCAATGATAATGGAGGTAAAGAAAGAGACACTGGTCCCTAAAGTCTCAGACACGATGATTTCCATTTCAAATCCTGCTATCCTTACTGATTTGTCTATACTGATCACTATGAAGGCAAAAGACAAATCAGTCACAGAGCCTGGAACAGGCACAGATGATCACAAATAAACCATCCTGGAATGTTTGCAGTATCAAAGGCTGTGCACAGCACTTCAGTCAAGTCTGAAGCATATCTGCCACCTTAAAAAACAAAACAAAAAACCTGAAAGACTGTTCCTAAGAGTCAAAACTCTGCACATATTAGGATCTCCTTAAATTAAAAGTGGCCTTAAGAAGCCTAGCCTTCAGTTAATCCTCCTCAAACCTGGGACAGCCTTTGAGATTTCTCTGCGTTCATGATGAAACTGGCTAGAGTAGATAAGGTAGATGAAATTTCAGATAGCTTCCGAAAAGACTTTTCTTCCAAAGCCAAAACTCTTTCAGTTAGTTTTATGCTGTCATTGTGCATCTGATGCAAGTGCTGCTCAGTTTTTTGCACGGCAAAGTGATTCATTTTTCTTCTCTTCTTAATATGCCCTGTGTAAAAGAAAAAAAAAAAAAAAAAAGGCAGATGGCACAGTCAGCACTCAAGGTAACTCATGGACAATAATGAAATAAAGACTGCACAGTGAGTTTTAAAATTAAACTATGATAACTATTCCAAGACACCCATTTCCATTCATGACTTTTTTTTAAAGAAAATTCTCACCTATGTTCTTTCATATTTATTACCAGTGCTTCATCATATTTTGCTAGGAAAATGACATAGAAGTAGTATCTCTTTCTTATCTTTCTGCTTCAGTATGAGAAATACTTGTTTCGAGCTTTTTTTTGGTGTAATCAGAAAGAGTCTTTTATACTCCATGAAAACGCTCAGTGCACCCTCAAAAGACTATTTTGCTTTTACTATGCGGGGAAATAAAAAAAAGATAGTAATACATTTTAAAAGGCATGTTTTAAATAAGCTCAGAGAGCAGTTACAGCAGTTTCTTAGAAAGAAAGAAAAAAGAAAAAAGAAATACAGCCTCAAATGGTCAAAGCCACTTACAAAAAAAAGTTAAAAGGAGACCAGAATTCAGGGTCTAAGCCAGATTCTTAACACGTCGTGGTAAAAACAAGTTCCAAATTCAGGTCAGATTATTTTATCTTCAGGGCTTTCTGCAAAGATAATCTTTTTATTAAGGCTTTTGGAAGAAAGCAAGATTTGAGAGAAAAGGGAAAAAAAATGCTAGACAGCATGCCTGGGAGAAAACTCTGTGGACGATTTAGAGCATTTTACTGGGGTCATATGTTGGTAACTGAAAAGACAGTTCCTACTGTAAAAAAACTAAGTATATATGCTCATTTGGTCATCCAAACATAACAGTTTTATTCCCAAAAGAAAAACTGACACAATATGATGAATTCTGTTAGCACAGACAATTTTTCAAGATTTTGTTTCCTCAAGTAGGATTTCATAACACAGAATTTATGATCATTATGGCAACAAAGGGCTCATAAATCAAACACAGTAAGGCATGAAAAGAAGCTTTTATCTAACCTGAAGCTAGCTTAGCAAACACGTACTACACCAGCGATTAAGTTACTCCTCTATTGCATATTATTTCTGGTTCCAAACATTAGGACTTCCACAAAAGAACCGTTCTGCCAGCTGCAGAAGGGTTCTCGACTCCTGAACACGGGAAATCTTTCTTCATAGAGGAATAGCCCTTGCACCGATTTACTCTTTACCACATTAGAAACTCTCCACAAAGTACCAGTGAACAGTTTTAACCATGTATTTTACATGCAAAATTAACAGCGATAACAGAAGTTATTTTTGAGAATCAATTTAAATCAGTCCATCTCTTCAGGCCATTCAAAGATAATTCCAGCAGAGGGGAAACGTAGCCTCTGTCTCCGTGGCATCTTCTATGTCTCACTTCCTCTCCTTACGCTATTTAACAACTTTTCAGTCTGTTTGAACTGCAGAACCCCAGAACTGAAAAGAACCCAACCAAGACTCATTAATCTCAATCTAAGACTCTTACCTGAATCTGAAAAGGTAGAACTGTAATCATCTGCTTCTGTGTCCAATCCACTGTTGTCTGTTGCTTGTTCATATTCCTGTATGTTTTCATTAAGGAGAAAAAAAAAAAACAAAAAAAACAAACCTTTCTTGACATCTAAAAACCTGACCCAAATTACTAGGTATTTGGGGGGATGGAGGGGAGGAATTATAAGAGATACTAGAGAAAGTATGAATTGCTGTAGTTTTCATAGATTTCTGCTATTTCCTTCCCAGTTTGGTTAAAACTACTGCCATAGCAACCACACACCACAATCCAATGGACAGCTGGAGACTGAAATGCTACCTATGCTGCAACTGCAATTACAGCTGTCATCACCTTTGTTTATCTAGCAAAACAAAATCAATTACCATCAGCATTCTTTCCTTGCTAGGCTGCACACTCATCACATTAACATATACTCTGAACATAATGGCCAAAGACAGACAAAATCAGCATCTGGGAGTTCTCTGTATTTTGCAGATATAAATATTAATGCAGATACAGCACTTGGACTTCACAGTTCTGGCCACGTATCACTTCTTCCTCTCCCCTCCTCTAGGGGAGAGTTGAAATCAGAGTCACCTTCTTCATGGACATTACAAATAGCAGATTTCTGTTTCTTCCGTTTCTGTAATCATCATTAAGGTCCTCCACCCAGTGCTGAGAAACAAGTTTCAGGACAGTGCTTTGTATTAGTGACAAATACTATGAACCAAATTCTGTGCTCTAGAGTGCTCTAAGTTTTCTTTTACCATGCCTGCCTGTCTGTCACACACACAGGACAACTAGGACAACCCACTTGCAGATATATAGCGATGTTACTAAACAGAGGGCCCATAAACATAATCATCTTTTTCATAGTAAACCACATCTTTTTCCCATGTTACTGTTCAGAAACAGCTGTCCTCTAGTTCTCTTTAGCCAGGTGCTGCTTCTGCAAAAACACACAGGGAGAACATTGTGGATGACCTCAGAATGCAGTAGGCTGTAGCTTGATAAGTATTTCCCTCCATATCCTTCCCCCACAATATTACCATGATAGTCAATCCTTTTCACTTCCTCCCTACTGCGCCACCTCCTCCAGCCGGCTGCAATAACGGTGTTACATCACCACCTTCTCAGGGAAGCAAGTTTTTAACCAGGATCAGTTCTACAATTCAGTTCACCCAATGCAAAGGCAGCCAAATGAGCCCAACTCAGAGACTAGTCTAGGAATGGAAGTGAACAGCTGGGAAGCGTGATAGCTCCAGCAAAACAAAGTCATGCAGACTATGCCTTATGATTCTCTCCTCCCTGTGATGGATTTGTGAGAAGCGGGGGTGCAATAAAAGTAACACATTTCTGTATTATACTATTTTAAAATCATAGGACAGAGCATAGGCTAAACAATCTCCTAAGTGGCTGGCATTTTTCTGATCAACACAGAGAACCATTAAAACAAAATTCATGTAAACAAGAAAAAGAAATAAAGTATAAGAAACAATATAGCCTTAGGTTATAACAAATCACTTTATGTATTAAAAAAGGGAAAGGAGTGCAGAGGAAAATTATTTTTTTCTTACTAAATGTTCTTGATTTTCACAACTTCTGTTGCGACGTTCGAGTACCCAGTCTGCATTGGATGGATGTATTCTGGAAAGAGAATGTAAACTTGAACATAAGCTATGTGTAATAACATACTGTATAATTCCAGTCATAAAAGATATTTTTAGAATAGTTTTCTCCAGATTTTTCCCCCAACATTGAAAACAAACAGGGGAATTAATTCAAACACACAGCAACTCTTCCACTAGTGTTAGAAAACGCTTTACAAGGTGCGGAAAACAAGAGGACTGCTTTCTTTAGAGCACATCCTTGCCCCCATCTTAAAACGCTATCAGCCATGCGTGTGTAACTGATGGGAAGCGGTGTGAGGACGTACACTGGCATTGCTGTCTTTTCAGCTGCCTTACTCTTACATACCTCTTCCCCTATCATTTCCAGGGAAATTTCATCTGTTTCAGGTCAGAAATTATTTTCTAATAGATCCACGCAAACCCATGAATCGTCTCTTTAGAGATTCTTTACAATTCAAGATTTTGTGACCTTTTTCCTTGCCAGTTTCCCTACCTCTTCAAAAGTTACCTTTGTCAAGGCACTCTTTACCTAGTTAGTGAACTTGAACATCTTCCTTACAGTTTAGTTTATTCTCATTCTTACTAAAGCTGATCTCAGGTTTAATACTTTACCATGCAGTCTAGTTTCTTTTTGCAGCTATTCAGCACAATACTCCAGATCCTGTGGGGTTCAAAGTCTTCAAAAGCAGTTGAAAGTTTTCCAATTAGTGTTGCAAAAGAAGCTGTACTTTTAAGAGACCAGTTACATAGATACTGTAAACTTAGGACTAAATCCTACCTCCTCTATGCATCTAAGTAATTCTATTGAAGTCTGCAGGAGATATTGTAGAAGTTAAAAACACAAACAAAAAACCCAAACAAACTACAAAGCATAGTTTTTGCAATAGTTTTAACTCTGCACAACTCTTCAAACCAAAACACAAACATACTCAGATGCAGACAGGGTAAGCAGTAATGAAATAAAAATAAAATAAAATAAATAACATAATGTTTTTCTGTTTCAACAGACCTAGGATTACAAGAAGAGGTCAAGTCTATTGATATTTCATTTTAAATTTACAATAACTTGCTGTTAGATCTGTGGACTTTCTCTGGAAAAGGAAAACTATCTACAACTTGGCACTCAATAGCAGTTTATAACTAAGGATAAATCAAGATATTGTAACTTGAAAGAGAAGTGGGGGGGGAAGCAAACCAATCTCTTGTGTACAGAGTTGCTAGATGACCACTGCAAAGCCCTCTTTTCAAAGACTCAAAGGCAGGGAAGGCTACAAATCAGATATACAGACTTAAATCAGGTTTTGCTCAGGATGGCTACATAGCTCTTCTGTAAAGTCTTTTTTATCCTCAGTGTGACACGGTGTTCTACTTCTGCAGCACAGCGCTACTGGACAGCACAAAGCAGTATCTGATCTGGAATCTTCAGGACTGAACATATGAACACAGCTCACACATAAGCCCCATGCATATATAAATCTCTACTATAGAGTAGAGATGACACACTTAAAGTAGTGGTCTAGAGCACAGCCCATAAGATTCTTCCCCCTGCTTCTCAAGCAGAACGCCTGATAGCTTGAAACTCATTCCGATAGCTCCACCTGTAGATTATGCATCACGCTAAACCTTTTGTGTAAACCGTAAGGAAAATAGAGAGATTTCTTCTGTCTAAACCAAAGGATAATTTCTATTCTTCTCCCTCAAGGGAAGACCTGTTTCATCGTGACAAATGCCGGGAGATAGCTCGATCATTTCCAGGGGAAGTCAACTTTACTCTTAAGAAAGAAAGTCAAAGTACAGCCCAGCTTTATTATGGAAAGGTCTACAAGAGGTGAAACAAGAAGCTGTTCAGAGATTCAAAGGGAAGAACCATAAATCCATCAAAGACTAACATGAGGTCCCAGGTTCACTTATGTTTAAAAAAAAAGTTTCAGCTCTTCAGTGTGAAACATTACAGAGTAGCTCTGAACCAGAGAGATGGTCTCAGTGGCTGCAATCCCACAACAGGTTGGTTTTGGAAGTAGAACTAGCTCAAGGAATTCTGTCCCCTCAGCTTTTAAAGGGAAAAGAATTCTGGAGAGTTTTTACAACAGATTTGATGTGATCTGCTAGAGTGCTCTGTAGATGGGTACAATAATTGGCTAGAAGATTAATACTATTAATTCAGAGAGTAGGAAATATTTCAACTTCTTTATTCCTTGCTCATTATACATCTCATCTGACAGAGGGAGCACCTACCTCTTTCAGGCTCGGGGGACTGCAGACCATCAACCTCCCGTATCATGCATATGATGCAAGTTCAACACCTCCCCCCAGATACCGGATTTATTGTTTCTGCCTAGAACGTGGACAAAACATTCATATGCGCGTAACAAGCCTAACGTGAGAGGTTCCCTTCAATACTGATTTTATAAGCCCACAATAACCTCAGTTCTCTGGAAAAAAAAATACCGTTTTTAATGCCAATGTACAGTAAAATAAGGGATCAAGAGACTTTCTTCTCTGAAGCATGAGACAGCATCCCAGAAAGGCTGCTGTCACCACAGTAACACATCAGTCCACAGCCTGCCTCAAAGCTGCCAAGGCAGTTATAGCCTAACAGTTGAGCCCTCCAGATTTAGTGGATGTCAGTGGTAGGACTTCAGCTTCTGAGTCACATTCACTGACAAGACAGCTGGAGAGGTTAAAGACATCTGACACAGGTTATTTTGAGTCGCCCTACTACTTAAAGCATAGAACCAGTGAGCTTTTAATTGGAACCTAACCCTTTAAACATTCATTTGAAGTAACTCACATAAATTGGACACTGCTGTATTTACTCACTTGCATGAGGGTTTGGAAGAAAAGGCTGCATCACAGAGAAAATTAATATAAAGACGGCAAGATGGACAAGCTTTTACATCAAATTTTTGACACTGGCATGCCAGAAACAGAATGTTACGCACAAGTAGTTTACCATAGACTGAGCAGGCAAACCATTTTTAAGACTTACTTTCCTGAGCATTCTGCCAAAGAGGATCCAAGCTTGGATACAACACTCACTGAAGTGTTAAAGGGTTCTGACTTAATGCCTGCCTTGCTGATCCAGATGAAGTTAGAAGCAGCATCAGTTCTGCCTCCTTCTTCCTTGATGGAGTTCACGCTTGTGCCAGTGATACAGAAATTTTCTGAGCAACTGCCGACAAGAACAGTATGCCCATTTATCAGTTTAAATCTATGTTGATTCAAACACAGAACAGAATTCTAACCTCAAAACCATTTCTACACTGAGGAAAAATATACTATGTTAGAAAATGCAAAGACTAACTAGAAAAGTATTATTATTTATAAGATTGTGGGTGTACACTGCTCTACTTCTAGTTAGGTATTGATGTGGAACTGGTAAAGACTGACGTATAGTTATGATCCAACTGTTTACAGAGGAACTGTTTAAGTCAGACATAGGCATTGACAAACAACCATTTAACTATAGCTGTTTAACAAAATGAAGTGTGCCACGTAATGACAGCAAATGAGATTTTAGTTTAATAAAGAAATAAATTCCTTGTTGCTGCATAAATGAATGAAGGGCTGTCTTTTAGGCAGAGCAATTTACACCACAGATGTAAGGAGTCAAAGGCTGACAGACTCTGGGCACGTTTCGCCAGTTCTATTTGCAATTTTCTCTCTTTTTCTAAAGATAAGGCTTCCTAGGCCAAACTGTCAGAACAGCGGTATCAATGGAAAGAACCATTATCTCTAGGCTCCATCATCTGCTTTCCCCTCTTTTTCACTATCAGATCTCAAGCTCTGGGACTCTGTTGCTTAACAGCAGTTTAAGTTCAAGGCTCCATCAGAGCAAGTGGTACTCTTAAAGTATGGTGAATAATCCTGAGCAGCCCACTGCTCAAAATGCAACTTGCGAACTATGAATTTATTAGTATTTTTGTATTAGTAGCCATCAAGGTATGAGCAACAAAACATGGCAGCCTCTGTGCAAATATTGACCATTTTATACCACAAACTCCCAACAGAATAGTTTATTTTCAGAATAGGATTATTCAATGAGAACCACCCCTCAGAAAACGTAGCTTACTAGCTTATTTACGCAACTTGCTAGCTAAATTATGCCTGAGAGGCATATACTCTTTTAGGCTTCTTCACTTCACGATGACTGGTTAAAAAAAAAAAAAACAAAAAAAAAACAAAAAAAAAACCACACACCCCCCTCTGTGATTCTTCCAAAACATTTTTTTTGGCTTCTTCCCCTCCCGAGGACTGGTTAAAAAAAAAAAAAAAAACAAAAAAAAAACAAAAAAAAAACCACACACACCCCTCTGTGATTCTTCCTAAACATGGAAGGATAGTTTTTATATAGCCTGCCATAATCTCAAAACATCTGAAATTTCTTTTCTTCAACACACTAGATGTTCCACAGGAGAAAATTTCAGATTTATTCCCAAAGATGCTCCAACAGAAAGGACGAATGTTGCTTTTACATTAAAAGCTTCCATTAAATATATTAATTAAAAATTGGAAGCTATCAGATAGCTTCCAAGAGCCCTTTGGAGGGCCGAGGGGGTAGAAGGAGGGCAGGGAGAAGAAATCAAGAAGCGTTCTGGCCAAATAAGCCTAAAATTTCGTAGTGTCATTTTTATTGTTAATGATTTAACGTACTAGTATCTTAGCATCATTAATTCTATGTACTCTAAAAACACTTATAGGCAGATGGACTGCAAGGAATGTGAACAAGGAAAGCCAGCTCATGCTGTAGGGAGGAACACATAGTTCTGGTATGCTAAAAATAAAAAGAAAGCATTAACACACCATATGCTGTGCAACAGCAAATAGCATTATTTAGAAGTGTTCCAATCAAACAAAGCTTGCTGGTAAGAGTTCAGACCTACCAACAAGGAGGGGGGGGACCGGGAAGGATAGCCCACTTAAGTCAGCCACCTCTGACAGTCATGTGCTTCACTGCATAAATAGATGGGCGAATTTTACCTAACACTTTAGTTTCATTCATTTTACATAAACCTTAGAACAGCATATATCCAATTAAAGATTTCTCCTTTTAACAATGTGACTAATCACGTGAGACAGAGGTTGAAATACCACTGGTGAAGCAAATTTTGATTTGTATACAGCCAATATATTTTTTTTAATTTAGGACTGCCTTGTCTTGCACTTCAGTTGTAATATTTTTCTCTATAGTAAGCTCTGTTTTAACCTCTATACTAATAATACCATGCAGATGCATTCCCTCTCAAGCTGTATGAGAAAAGCAATAAAAGAGGGAAGCTCTTTAGTAAAGCAAAGTATTTTATTGGAAGTAAAATTCTAATTTCAGCATTTTGTGCACTACATGAAATATACATGCAAGAACATAGCCTCTGTGTGTGTGCGCACAGTGAACACTCAATGAATGAGTAATTTTTTTCACGCCTTCCAAGAGGCAAAGAACAACTACTACTGGATTATTTCTTAGAATGTGTCAGTTAATGATCTTGTGCCTGGAGCGAAGGCTAACAGGACCCGAGAGGTAAATATTTTAAGCAATAGAAACACTTCAAACTGCCACGCAATAGGCTGGGTCTACTGACTGTAGCACAAAAACTGGCTGAAGAACTCCTAAAAGTTAGTGACACCACATCCTTGGGCAAATCTGAATCTATATTAAATTCTCATTTCCACTTGATCAAATGGTGATAGCTTCACATATTCTGCAGCAGAGAGGTAAAAGTTCTTCAAAACGGCCAAGCAGCAAACCTCTCAGTCTCAGCCTTGCAGAAAGGCTCATTCTTACTGTTAAGGTAACCATCTCCAATTACAGGAGTATACATGTGAAGACAATCACTACATTTTCCTAAGACTTTGTTCTTTTCTGTGGCATCAAAACACAGCACAGGTCTTCCTATTAACTTACCTGGACTTTTCCTCATTGAGGTAAAGTAGTTAAGGCATGGAATCAAAACGGGACACCTTTATAAACAGCTCCCTAACCCAGCCCATCAGAACATGAGGGTGCAAATGATGTAGATTTAATCCATCCTAAAAAGCATCAGTAAATTACTGTTCTGCAATTCAGCCTGCAAGGTGACCCAACATTAACAGAATATATGACGTTATATGTCAAGGATGAAAAACAAACAAAAAACCCTTTTAGTCATATTACAGAAAGGCATATTTAAGATGTGTGGTTCAAGTTAGATTTACTTGTTAGGTCTCAAGTACTATTGGACTAGAACTACAATTGATTCAAGGCAGTAAATAGTAACTCCACATGTCTTTTTTCCAGAAGATAAATTTCATGAGTATTTCAGGCAGAAGTTTCAGAGTCCACAATGTTTGTTATGTCCATCTGCTGAATACTAATCAAATTGTCTTACCAACATAGCCGGCCATGAAACACTTGTTCTTAACGTAACAGAAGAGTTACACTAAGAATCAGCATTTGCATTCTAACCAGGAAAGGAGCTGAAACAAGAACATTACCCCCTCAAACTAGAACTGAACCCAAGCTGTCACTGAAGCCTTTGTTTTTGTACATGGCAGAGCTTCATTCAGATTCAACAGCAACAACTAAAACACAGAAGCCTCTCGCTGCTCCTTCAGAGTAACTGTTGCGCTACAGTGCCTTACCTTCACTGAACAATCTTCCCTCACCACTCTCTGCTTCTGCTTTGGCCCCACTTACAACAGAAACAAACAAATCAAGACTCTTTTTTCAACTCATACCCTGTCAAGTGAATGGGAAGAGCTGGGAAAGTGGAAGGTCTGTAAGGAAGAAGAGTCTCCAGAGAGAAAGGAAAGGGCTCCCTTTTCTCATCCTTTCCCCTCCCCCTGCCCCGCTCAAAGCAATGAGCTAGCCCCCTCATATGTGTATCCACTAGACCCTCCATTGCCTTCCTCAAAATTCATGAGTAGGTCAGATGGCACACCTTCCCAGCAATCTCCTCCCTCTTCTCCCACATTCAAACATATAAACCCTTCCTAACCTACAGGTTCCCATCTCTTCTTCCTTTCTTCCTACTTCTTCACCCATTTTTTAAATGCAAAAACAGTTAACACAAGCCAGCTATGACCATGAGCTAGAATATGTTGAGCCAAACGCCATGAACCAGAAAAAACTTCAGTCACAGCTGAATTCAAGCAGGAAACGAACCAAGTGAAGTAGAAGGCGGGGGGGGGGGGGGGGGGGGGGGGGGGGGGGGGG